TCATAACGGGGATTAAATAACCGTTAAAACAACGTTAAATCGACAACAACAACTGATCAGTTATAAACTAATTTTATTAAATTGTGTTAGATAATCGGAAATGCCTCGCAAAAGCATTAACAATACTTAAAAAATAAAAAATAAAGTTGGGGTTTGACCAATCGCGCCATTGCTCGGAATTTGGGAAGGTCGATAACAGTGGTGTGTAATTACCTGAATAACAAAGAAAATTATGGCCAGGGAACTTACCCTGGTTGAAAAAAATATATATATTAACACGTGATATTAACGAGAAATTTGTCGACAGTTGTCAAATACAACGACGTCACTACGGAAAGTGAAAAGAGAGAACCAAATTTCTGCATCTTCAAAASTTTTGCGTAATTTGAAACGAAAACCTAACATTGTACGCGAGCAAATGCAGAAAGCGCCTTTCTTGAAACCACAGCGTAAAGTCTCTCGTCTCAATTTTGCCCGAAATCAAATGAGYATAGCCTGATATCAGGTAAGATTAGGAAAAATAGAGTTGTGAATATTACGGTTGCGGTAAAGTAGACAATTCTTACAAAAAAACTTTACTATTGGACCTAGGTGATTTTTCCCGATGAGAAAAAGTTCATCTTTGAAAGGAGGTATGATATTTTTCAAAGCGTTYCCTTCTTAACAAATGGATAGTTTCGAGTACCATGCAGTATTAGAAGCAAATTTCTTATCCTATAYACACAGTTATCCGCAAAAATGTTTGTCTTTTCAACAAGTCTACTCATGAATCCAAAATGAAAACGTAAAAATATCGACCTTTTGGTATTGTCATTGACTGAAGTCCTATTGAGAACATATGGGGATGACTGGTAAGAAAGGCTATAAGGATTATCGTCAAATAAATGCAGTTTCTGAACTGAAAACAGCTATTTTAGATACATGGTCTATTAACCGCAGAAATGTTTTTTCATTACACCAACTCAATGCCAATTGGAATATTCGCACTTATCAATAATAATTAAAACATAATTATTATATATTAAAAGCGTTCTTATAGAATTGCTTTAAAATAACATCAGTCGTTTTTGGAATGGGGACACATTTTTTCAGTATTTCWCAAAAATATAATGCCTGCACTTTCTTGATTTGACATTTCTGCTTTTATAGCATATACAGAATATATATGTATGTATATATACTTATATATATACAKAATGAAAGTACAACGCAGCTAGAATGTTAAAAAATATTTCGGTCCGAAGCTATATTTTTTACTGAACAAACCAAAAAATGTTGTTGTTTTTTTGTAAATGAGTGGCAATTATCTTGTTTGTTTGCGTATTGTTCTTTAAAAGGTCTGTATTTGCTATAAGTAATATGGTTGCGCCAAAGTCATTTAAATGAAATTCAGCGTGAGCAACCTTGGTCTGGGACATCTATTTATTTCTTATTTTCATTAAAAGTTGCAGATTTTTATTATTATAAGTATCAAATTTGTGTTCACGAAGTTATTATATAAACCAATTTTTATCCTTATTAACGTATGTCTTATTTTTTAACAGGATGAAATGATGCAAGCGTCCTTTCACTTTCCATTACATCGATACTTGGCATCGTTTCTATGCCAGGCTGTAACCAAAATGGGGATGTCGCTTTCAGAAGTGCTGCCTACCAGGTCATATATATTGCCTCTTTTAATGATACATCCTCTGCGAGTTCAGGTGAGTTGCTTTCGAATATTATTAATTTATATTTGTAGATTAACTTAAATTGGATTTGCTACTTTTTTATTTTTAATATTATTTACTTATGCCATTTTTGGTCGACACATTACTTTCGCGATTCGTCGGCGGACGGATTATGTTCAATTTAAGTCTGAGTCTGAGTGTAGATTATGTTCAATTTAAGTCTGAGTTCAGACGTGAAAACTTTTGTTGCTCGATATCGGCAATTTACTTACGATGTTATAAATTTATGCATAAAACCTAACGAAGTTAACGTAAAGGGAACTTGGGTTCAAACTCCTTTTAATAACTTTTCAGCTCGTGTTTTTGTACGAGGTACCTGATATTACCCCAAATTGTGTAACACATGTTGCACAGTGTACATATAAAATTCTTGTTCGCCTAATGGTTGTTTGTATACATAACATAAAATAATAAAAATAATCCGAGTGATGAGTTGAATTTTTAGTGATTGACTGTCCGTGGATGCGATAACTGTCTGTTTGGTATTGGTATTTAGAAAAAATGAGCGTGGCTAGAGCGACTTCTTAGTATTGACCCGATTTCTGTCTGTCTGAATTTTATTAAGATACCTTTGAATCCTGCCGGGAAGTCTGAAAAACCTATAATCATTACAACAGGTCGTGGTTATCCGGTTTCATTAATTTACACAACGTAAAAGGAGTACTAGAGGCGAGATTGGTTGATATAGTTTTAGCGTTAAAACTCTTTTTTTCCCGAATACTGGATTGACAAATTAAAAAAGAAATGTTAATCCCAAATATCAGATAAAATGWTACTATCATGATTAAAATTATAATTTTTTTTGGAATTTGCGTACTGTGTGTCCTACCATTTTGAACTAGTGCTCGCACAGAACCATCAATTCAATTCTCTGGAGTAGTGGTCGGTAAATTTACACATTGAAACGATTTACATTCACCTATCATTCCTCCTTACCTTAAAAATTTAATTTTCATTTTTATCATTTTATTAATTTTAAATTTTAAATCCAACTTTTTCAGTTTTTAATTCCGATTTTGGAGCTTTTAATTAARAAATTAACAATCCAGCCTGTAAGCAACTAATTGGTTTAATCTTAAAAAAAAATGTCTGAATTACCCCATCTCCACCATCTATATTGGTGAATTCTTTATTCAGTGATTTCTGATTTTTCACCTGCTTTCAAAATATTTATATAATAAGGTCAATATGTGTGATATTTCCATGGAATTAAGTGTGCATGTTTTTTTAAGCTAAAACGCTGGAGGTGAATGAAATTTGTTTTGACCTTAGTCTAATCTTCACAAGCCTAATGTAATGTTTTCGGTTTCTCTGGTTGACATTTTCTCATATACCCAATATATTAAATTAACTTATTTAGACGAGCTTATACTACGTATATCTGATTTAAGTTAATTAGGTTGATTTTAATAAGTCTATATCGGAAGTGTAATAAGAAGTTAATGTAATGTAATAGAAGTTAATGAGATATCAAATATTAGGTTGTCAAAAAAATCTTGCGGTATTTTCGCTAGTTGGCGCTGAGAGCGCGTAGTTCTAGTTTTATTCGTCGCATCGGGTCATGCTATACCTTTTTGGAAAGCTCATTTCACGCTAACGCGTGTTTGATTGATTGCAATTGCATTGGAGCAAAATAAAGAGAAAATACGCCATATTTTACAGTACTTCTACGATAAAGGTAAAAATGCATCTCAAGCCGCCAATAAAATTTGTGCAGTTTATGAACCCGATRCAGTTTCCATTTCCACCGCACAACGGTGGTTTCAACGTTTTCGTTCTGGTGTAGAGGTGGTCGAAGATGCGCCACGTTCCTGAGCGTCTTGTTGCGGCCTGTTGTCGAAAATTGCGATAAAATCGCTGAATTGGTCGAAAGAGACCGGCATAGTAGCCGCCGTAGCATCGGTCAAGAGCTGGGCATGAGTCATCAAACCGTTCCTGAGCGTCTTGTTGCGGCCTGTCGTTGAAAATTTCGATAAAATCGCTGAATTGGTCGAAAGAGACCGGCATAGTAGCCGCCGTAGCATCGGTCAAGAGCTGGGCATGAGTCATCAAACCGTTATAAACCATTTGAAGAAGCTTGGAGTCACTAAGAAGCTCGATGTATCGGTGCCACACGAATTGACGCAAAAAAACATCTTTGACCGTATCGACGCATGCGAATCNTTATGATTGTAATCCATTCACGGTTTCGCCGAATAATAAATGTTGGATTCTTTCGACTTCAATCGTTGCAAATTGTGACAGTATTAAATATTTGGTATCGTACTTATCCCTTTGCTGCTTGTTTTCTCTTCATATTAGTCAGCGGTGTTGTGGAATCTGATAGTTGTCGGAATCAGAACTGAAACCGATCAAAAAAGCAGTAGGTGTCATGAATTCAGATATTGGTTTGATATTCGAAACAGAATTTGTATCGGTTTTGGGAGTCACGGAAACCAATTTTATCGGTTTTGCTGTCAGAAACAAATCAAGAAGATAGTTGCGTACAGATTTGTAATGTATCAAAGAAATCAAGTTATTTTATTGTTATGAATTAATGGGGAGGGAAATAAATAATTGATTATAGCGAAATTTCTAGGGTTTATAGTTATATATTTAAACATCATCCGCAAATTTCTTTTATACGGAATCTTTTACATTTTGCTTTTGGGAAGCAATTGTCAGATGCTTCTCGCATGTGCATATGCCAGACGGCGGGCAGCATGCAGGTCGAGATTTCTATCCGAAACAAAAAATTCAAACAGATTCATATTATTTAATAACTTATGTTCAAATTAAACTGAAAATTTCAAAAAAAAAGGGTAAAATTATAAAAAGTTTTAAAATTAAAAAAAAAAAAACTGATTTTGGTCTAAAAAATTTTTACTTTAAATATACATATGTYCAAACTTAGCCTTTCTTAGTTTTTTTTTAGTTTTAACAGGAGATAATTTAATCCCAAAGATAATAATAATAATATGACTTTCACTTTTTTTCTATCGTAAAAATGAAAAACGAAATTTAACACCCAATCTTTTAAAATCTTTCTTTAATTCGGAGCTCATTAAAAACTTTAATAGGATTGCTTCCAAATGTATTCATTTGCAAGTTTGGTCACATTAGTAAACAGCTCATACCAATATTGGTTTTGCATATGTTCGAAAAGACAATAATCCAATCAGATTCTGTGACACCATTGAAAATCAGAATAGGTTTGCAATTCTGACAGCTAAGCAATTCTGTCTTGGATTCCACAACACCCCTGAGTATTTTTACAATAAAAACGGATAATTTTAGAATTTATCAATTTTATTTTATTGTATTCGAACAAGATTCCATGGGGGTCTATAACTACCAAGAAACAAATAGTATAAACACATTGTTATTATTCATTATTTTGCTTTCAATTTATAAATCAAATGATATTCAGTTTCTAATTCAAGTTTATGTAAATTTGCTGTACACTGTTTGATCTAAACATATAGCTTTTAGAAATCATTAAAGTCAATTTATGTGTCAATTATGTACTAATTCGAGCAAGAATATTTCTAACTGGATTTTCTTTGAATTTTAAATTAATTTAAAATTAATTTTAAATAAATTTCCTAGAAATTTCAATTTTGATAAAACAGTTGCAAAGTAAATACAATCAATTTCTTTCTTCGAAGTAGTGATTGTATTCATTGGCATAAAAAATATTGCAATCCGTTTGCATTGTAAATTCACATTGCATTGTAAACACTCCAATATTTACTAAGATATTTATATGTAGGTGTGTCTGCTATAGTGTATCAATATTATAATTATATAAATATACTTCCTTTTTTATACATTCATATACTAGTGCACTTACAATAATAATATTTACTTTCTAAGTTTGTATTTAGTTAATATCTTGTGGCACTCGAACGTGGGGTGTAAAATCATAGGTCATAATCTTCGGTGCAAGAAAACCACCGTAACCTTGTCGTCCCTTATGATATATGCCCACACCGGATAGAGGCACTGGCGGGTTAGATGTTACTTCCTGTGTATCGATAAACGGTACCGTACTCTGCGCGGCATCTTTATCCATGCTTGTATTTATAAAATCTATATATTGGTTATGTCGTGAGTCGGGTATTGATTTGACTATTGTTCGTGTTGATTTGTCGGGGTTATTGAGATTAATTTTTTGTCTAAGAAGAGGAGGATTAATTTAGATTTTTTTGAGAGAATAATAAATATACTAATTTACCTCCGTTCCCCGCTCACATCGGTATTATCATTGGATTTCCAAAAACTATTCGTTTCTGGGGATATTAGTTTACCCATTTTGAAATCGAATTCTGCTAACTTGGCTTCAAGATTTAAGTGCGCACCAACGACTCGCCAACGCACACCAACTACTATAAATGAGTTGTCGTCTGTGTAGATGTCGTCTAAATCCATTGATCTACTTTCGTAACTGAGTGTATGATAATCCCGACCATTACGCACGTCTCTGTCGAATATTTGATAGTTTTCAACTGGTTTCCAAGTAAGACTCGATCGATTTATATTGCCCCTCGGTAAAAGTTCTCCTTCTTGGATTTGTAAGTGAAATATTCGATTTTGTTTCGTAATGCGTAAGCCGGTGACTACTCTAAAAGTGATAAAAAAGAAATGTTGCGAATGTTCTGTCCGATTTTATGTAAAAACATATAGAATCTAGTGTTATTTACCTATTGTTATCCACATCTGCAACCGTTTCACGCAAATTGAAGTAGCGGTCTGATTTTATACTAATTTCATCGCACAGGCAAAAGCAATAGCTACAGTGCCAAAAAAGATAGCGCCACCAGGATTCCACCTGTCAGTATTCGTATAATATGTATATATACTTTTGCATATAGTTGGAATCATTTGAAAGGCTTACCTTTGTCGTACCCCGCACGCAAGGAGTTCTTTGTCCAAGTACTCGACCATTTTCATATTCTAGATATTCATAGCGACGGGTACTGTTTCGGCTCTGAAAGAAACAGTTTTTATACAATAACTAGTTATTTAGCTAAATGTACCAGCTTAACCTACAGCGGGACAAACCCACATGTCCGCGTCAACATATGTACAGTGATACAATTTTCCTGAACATCTGGGTTGGCGCGCACAATACAGATCTTTGAAACAGCCTTCGGATCTGGTGGATTGATAAAATGCGCAATCCTCACGACATGTTTCCTCTTTGTTTAAGTCAACTTCATTCTCAATGTAACCCTGTAGAAGACGAGTCACCTCGTCATAATTTTTGCCTTGCTCAAATTTTCCAGGGTCACATCTCCACAAAATTCGATCGGCGCGACGCATAACCTCCCTCAGCAATTTTAAGGCACGTTCTGTTCGTTTTACGTAGTCCATACGCATTAGCTCCACTTCTTGAGAAAAATTTCCTACAAATAGCATCGTTATTAAAATATTAAATACTACATATTCCGTTATTCTACCTTTGCCGTAAATCCGTAACATCATCCACGAAAACTGCATCATAGTGTAGCCTTTTAACTCTGTAAGAGCTATATCGGAATATAGTGAATAAATGAATTGCTGCGCCGATTGTTGTGTATGGCATATTTGATCCGTTGATTCCTACAATTAACAAACAGTGAATCTGATCGTTATCTTCTAATAATAAATATATATAAATTTTTTCGCATGATACCAAATATCACCACTTATTTCTCTACACGGTTCAGTATCATATTATTTTTAATTATTACTAGGTTTAAAATTACTTATTTCATAAAACACTAATGAATCAGGGGATTATTTATCGTGATTTTAACGATCTCTAACATTATTATATAAATGAAATCTATTTGGTGTTAGTATACAAATTGGTTGTTCGTGCCTGTTGATTATATACATACGTATAAGTACATAAATAATTTAGGTGTGCACATATACATATACATATGATACTACATGTACTTGTATCTATGTGATTTCTAAATGGATTCCTGGTTGGCGTAACAAAAACATGTACTTAATAAACTAACCAACATTGCTCTATAATAAAGAGTTTGCTTGACCATTACTAACTCCAACTCCTGAAAAATACGCGACATAGAGAAAACATTATCATTGCGAAGCACCGTCTCGCAAATGTCCAAAATGGCACGTTCGTTCACTTCGGCAGTATTGTTGTGCTCGTTCATGAAGTTCTGCAAATGCACGAAACAAATGATTTATGATCAAGTTTAAAATTGTGACCATATTTTTTTCCAAATTTATCTATTCCATTTGAATGTATGTGTTTCGCACCTGATAGTAATCAAACATTCTGTCGATTTGGAGAAGGTCGCGTTCCAATAGACTCCATTCATAATGATTTAGAATATCATATCTTCCCACTTCGAAATTGCTTTGGAAATTATCGTTAACAAATTTTCGATGCGAATCATAAACTTTTCGAAATTCGGCATTTTTGCTTGTACCCTCTTTATCCAAATAAAGCCAAAGTGATTTCTGAAGGGCGATGTATTCGTAGCGTATTGCGTCGACTTGCAACTCCGGTACCTCTACCCTTGCCTCCGAAAATACGGCATTTGTTAAGATTAATCCAATCACCGTAAGGGTGATACAAAAGTTACAAAGGGTCGACATTGCGTTTCGTTTCCTTTTTTTTTATATTTATTATTCAATGTTTGCTCGGGTTTATTATTATTATAGTACTTTCGTTTTTGGTTTGTTACCTTTGTTGACCATAGAAAAWTTATAAAACATTATCAGGTTGATATTGGGAGCCTATGTTTGTGTGTAATATTGACAATGTTTTTTTAAATTCTTAAATTGTTCCTATATAAGTATAGTAAAAACTTTAGCAGACTTGAAATGTAGTGTTTGTGTTGTTAAATATTGATTTTTCTTCTTTTATTAAATATAACGATTGCTTATTTGCCTCTTGGTTTTGTTTCCATCCTGATTTTTCACAACTATGTACTTGTTCTTTCTTTATGACGACGAATAGTCTCGCTTGACGTTTATTTATTCTTTGTGTGTAATGTGAATTCACTCCGATATTTAGACGTTTATCGCTGGTTTATCACATTTTTGTTCACATCATCACATATTAAGTTAAACATTGTTCAGAGTCTTTGTTCTACGTGAAAAGAAGGTTAAAATCTTATATTTTACTTATGTATATCACGACAATAGCGAACTGTATCCAATTGACATATCGAATCCGGAATCGAAAGGAGTAATATTTTATTATTTGTCTTTGTAAAATAAATTTTTTGCTTATTTTGTTTTAAATTGAAGATTTAAAATTTGTGTGTTATTGCGCCGTACCAAGATCCAGTCTGTTTTATTCAATTTACAAAGCTAAAGTAAAATAGAATGACTGCAGTGTAAAACTCATTGTGATGAGAGGTAAAAAAAYCAACTGAGAGTTCATAGTCGGAGCATGAAAACACTCTTCTGGTCGTACTCAGATTTCTATAAATGTCGGCAAATGGCAGCGGAACCTTCGCATCAATAAACAATACGAGAATATTTAATAAGAGAATATTTACCTATGCGTCTTGTTATTTACTCTCAGCAGTAATGCGTGTGTTTATTATTTCATTGTTTTAGTTTTGAGTGGGGAGAGGATTTTTATGTGACTGCAAGCACATGAGTATTAGGATTTAATATACATATAGTAGGTATATCACATTTACATACGTATAATATGTACCTTTGTGTTTAAGTATTTCTACCTTTTACTTGCTTGGTGATGCCAAACCCAGCTTTAGAGATTTAAACATTGCTTTTAATTTTAATTTGTCTATATAAACGGAACCCTTTCCACGGACTTTTTTTGGATTAACCAAATTTCGTTTACACGAATAATCCATAAGCATTACAAAATGTATTTAATCAGTACTTTGACTTTCACCATTAGTAATATGGAGGAAAAAATGTACTATATTTAATTGCTTATTCGCTTTTGAATTAATTTAAATGTATTCACTTGGTTTTGAATGTTCGGTTTCCTCACAGTCTATCCATTTATCATTCTTTTTATTATTTAACAGTGAATAAATTGCTGAGTGAGTCATATAACTGCTTGTTATTTGTTTATGCTTTGTTGGCGAACTTCTCAGATTTCACTGACACTTCTTTTCCAGTGCCCATTAACGATTTCGTTTTGATACATATGCGTGCTTATCAAAACGCTTGTATTAGTAGTTGCCAGTTGACTTTGTCATTACCGATTTATAAGAAACATTTTGCTGGATTTATAGCATATCAGTATATCTTCAAAATAAAAAAGTAACATGCAATTAACTGAGAGTTATTTGAGACATTTTGTAATTAAACTAGGGTAAAAGAAAATACTACTGATAGAAATATGTTTTTATTGCTACATACCGGTTGCAATATTTAATTCTTACCTCATAAGTCTTTGCTAGTAAAGACAAAACATTCGTGGTTGTATTCTCCTTTTCCTCCGGACCGAATAGTATTAAATGTAAACGATCCATTAAATGATGCACCGAGTGTGCATTGGGCGAAACAGTCCATTCAGCGAAAGCTACTAGAGTGCTTGCCTCCAGTTTATCTTGATGGGCTTCATACTTTTGCATTTGTTGGAAACGAGAAGAAATTCGATTTATCGTATCCTGAATGTCGTTCATTTTAGACATAAGTGGCAAATTTTGATTGATGAATTCTGTCAAGGATTCAACTGCCAGTGCAACGTTTTGAGCATACTACAGAAAATAATGTTTATAGTTGTCTACTGAGAGATATTTATCTGCACCAACATATGTATGCATTTACGTATGTATGTACAAACCTTTTGTTCTGTTTGATCTATTTGACGACTCATATCTTTTAAACGCTGCAAAACTTTACGTTGTTTCTCACGCATTAAAGGAAACTCGATGTTTTGAGCGATTGGGGACTGTTGTACAATGTCCCAAGCCTTTAAGATTCCTACAGTAACTTCCTTCACCACGTAAATAACGTCAAGGACATCCTCTATAACAGCTGCAGCTGGTGGCGGTGTGGTGAAGAAGATGAAAAAAATTACCACAAGCCCAGACAAATTTCTTCCGATGAGCCACATTGAATTTTTTTTTATAGTTGCGGTAATTGTAGTTATTTCAATGTAATTTATTTTTTATTGCAATAAATTCAAGTCTTCAAAACATCTAAAATAGCAGAGGTAAACGCGTTTTATTGAAAGAGATACTTCACACACACCAGTCGCCGAGTCAACACTTCAGCACTTGTCAGAGGCCATTATACGAATAAATTCGTTGACTAAACCAGAGAGTGGAAAACTCGCAAACGGGCAAGAGTAATTATGAGTGCTGCTAGCTCTTTCATGGTACGCTCTCGCTGTTAACATCACTCCTACTCCTCACTGTTAACTTTCAAATGAATCAGGGCAAAAACCATTTTTATTGATATTAAAAAAAACTCATAATTTTTAATTGCTTCAAACATTTTAATAACATAACAGGTAATGGATAAGGATTTCAAGCAAATTATAAGAATGATTGGAAAGAGAAGGATGTTTCTGAATGATATATCAAAAACTGAGGGACTAGTTCACGTTCGACTCAGCTCCTTACGCTGACATATTGTATATATTTTATAGTTTCCTTGTGGGTGTTACAATCTTCATGGCAAACAGAATATACCTTTTTTTCTGTTACAAAAATATACTGTTAACAAGTGTTGCCGTGCCGTCGTAAAATATTGTCATAACATCGAATATATTTAAATTTTTAGTTATCAAAGTAAAAAAAAAAACGAATTGAGGAACGCGTTGCCTTCCGTGGTTTTCTCTAATATGAATAGCGATTGTTGATTGGCAAAGTGTAAAATGATGAGAGTAGCTGAACATTTTGCTTCGTTTTGCTTTGCTTCGCCTTGATGTGAACGAACTTATACAAAGTATACATCGGATTTACTTGTCAAAGCAAATGTCTGAAGTGAAGCAAAAGTTTATTCAATGATATGTCATTTGCATATACTATGTTTTTTCCACCGAGGCACATGTTATAGTTTTAAATAAATGTATATATTTACCTTTTAATTGAATGTTGTAAAAAGCTCGTTCGATATATTCTTACAGAGTTTCTTCTATGAGATACTGGCTGGGAAATGGGTGCGTAATGGACTACAAATCAAAGGTCAAGCCATGACTTATATACAGGCGAATTTTTGCAACTCTATGGCGGACATGGACCTTTTCTTTCTGCAAATATGTGCAACGAATTTGCCACAATACTTCTTTTTGCAGAGCACAATTGAACTTTTCGGTGTAGGTCAGTGGTTAGAGTTTGCACCATTAAAACAGCCCCAAAAGTTGGAGCAGTGCTCAATGCTTGAGGGATTCTTAACTTTTTTAGCAACGCTTGTAACTAGTCGTACGAATCTCGGTAATGACGAGGCTACACAGTGTATCATTGAGATAAGTGCATTACTCGCTACTGAGAATAAGACACATTCGCAGTTGTTAGAATTGATGCCGGAACGATCTGGCAATGTACATACGAAAAACTTTGAAAACTTTCTGAAAAAGCTGTCTGTTTACAAGGCTCCTTCTTCCGGTTCGGAAAATTTGGAACAGGGTCTTTTTACTCCGATTGATGATGTGTGGGAACAGCACTATGACCCCTTGCATGTACTTTTGCGAGCAGTACATCGGCGGGATTTTCAATCGTCTCTCGATCGTTTTACAAACTACGTTAAAAGTAAGAATAAAATGCCAGCTAGTGGTAATTTGTGGCCACCGTTTCGATTACCAAGGAAAGTGGGCGAGGCTTTTAGTGATCCATGTTGTATTCTTAATTCTCGTGTGTTGCACTCTACYATACTATCAATTTTATTTCGGGCAGTGCATTCGCGGGACGTATCTGAGCACTTGTTAGCGTTAGCAATATTTCTRTTAGAAATTGCTGTTGAGAAAAGTAACGACACTAATGGTACTGACAATGACAAGGCTGCAGTTGTGGAATGTGAACCAAAAAACAAACATGGCTACCCATTTTCTTTGAGACGTGATCCACCAAAACTTTTCCACTGCTATCCGACTGATAATCTGCGATGTAATTTACGTTATGTCGTCTCAAAGTTATCTTTAAAGTCTCACGAGCCGCAGGTATCGCCAGCAAGTTACCGTTCTAATCAATTTTACGGAGATTTAGATTATGATGTAGAAAGCGATACCGCTGCTTTGCCCATGATTGGTGGCAGTGATGATGACTTAGATGATGATTCAATGAGTGTAAGTGTGGCTAGCGGTACGTCGACTGCAATGGTGCGAATGCAAAATATGGAAGTGGCCTTGCCCCCAGATCTTTCATTAGTACCAGAACAAGGCTTAGTAATCAGACAAGATAGCCAGGATGATGATACGTTGCGAGATGTCGATGATGCTATTGAAGGTGCCTCACCATCTGTAGGTTTTCGATTCTCATTACAACCTATTACATTACCCGAAAGTGGAATGGAAGTGGCTATAAGAAGGGAATTGCAATTACTAGCTGGTGGCAGTGTAACTGCTAGTGGAGGGGTACCTCCAGGTAGTGCTGTTAGCGCTGGTGGAACATCGGCGAGCGGATTAAGGACTACGGAAGTCCAAAATAATTCACAACAACAAAATGAAATGTTTTCACCCAGTACTAACAATGCTAATAGCATGTTATTGCCATTTCAACGAGTACAACCGGTTGCTGTACCGATCGGCAGTCGAAGCATAGTTCCCACAGCAACCATACGTGGTGTGGTGGGAGTTCCTACATTAAGTGGACGTCGAACTTATGATTCGGCTTCACGTAAACGAACTACCCAGTTGGTAGACAATGCGATTGGAGGACGAAACAAAGATGAAGTCCCTATCGAGGAAAGCATACTTTCGTTACTCTTAAAGCTACATTCACAGCTTAGTGGTACATTGGATAGTTTCTCATTAAGCGATGGTGAAGATGAAGAAGCAGAAGAAGATACTGGCGAAAGGATGCAGTTTTCAAGCTCAAGTATAGCAAAAGACCGACTTAAACATGTGAATATTGAAAATGACATAACACCAAAAGCAGCATCTGTCAATCATTTAGAAAAGGAAAGTCTGTCAAAGATAGAGGAATCAAGTAATCCATCGCATAGCGCACCAAATTCACCTTCAGCCATGGATATAGACTGCTTGGAAGCCAGCACTTCTGCTGCCGCTTCTAATCTTAACCTGGATTCTAGTCAACGGAAACACAATCACAGTAGCACGAGTAGAAAGCGTATTCGTAATTATAGGAAAATTCGAGTATACGATTCTCGGATTGGTGATGGCCCCTATTTTATTGGCAATCTTATACGTAAAATAGCACAACGTGATGAGTTGTGCGCCCAAAGCATTGACGAGATACGTTCAACACTTTGGCCGAATCAACGTGAAAAACAAGCCGAGCAAAAAGCTCGCGAGACGAGGGAGAAAGAAGAACGTCGTAAGCGCGCACGGGAGCGACAAA